CTTGTCTGTTTTCGATTATCGTGTTAGGTTGTACCACATCACAGCATGTATTTGTTTGTGTGTGTGAGAAAAATGTAGACTGTATTATCGAGGAGTAGAGTTTACTAATGTAAGAAACGTTGGAAATTCTAGTGTCTACTCAGTTGAGACATCGTTATTTCCATGATGAACAGTCTATGCGATACTTAATTTCTTTGAGATTACCATTATCAAATCTCAATCTTTCGAACTATCAGGTAGCTCTCTCCATTTGGTTCTGAAACACAATTTGCAGTTAAGTGGATTTTGTGAATATTATCCAAACACATACTGGTTGGTATTTTTGGTTTTTTCTGATACCTTATTATTTCTGTATGGAGTTTCTAGTGCGTGGAACGCCCAACCGTAGCTGCTACCTTGACGTGGTGGTCGAGCTTGCCTATCGTGATGACCCAACCCAGCTATATTGGCTAGAACATATGTCCCTGTAGGTTCTACCATGCCAGGCAGGTCGATTTGAGAACGATCAGACTGAAAGCAGCTACCCCAGGTGTGAGGGCGAAGTCGTACTGCTGACTGCAGAGAGGTGTGACAGCAGTAATGTGTTTCCCTTGGACAACCAGCATCCGCAGTGATGCTGCCTTCTCACAAGGAAGGATTAGAAAAGGTCGACCCTAAAAATGTCACACCCCATCTTACCTCATGGATTTTGTCTCCGGCGGTAAGGGCTTCTAAACAAGAACGGAGCTAATATTCCAAAAACCTCTCATAAAAAGGCCGTGCGTGACCGGCCTCAAGCAGTTGTCCCTTGGACTCTGCTCCACTGATGAGTCCCATACACCGGGACGAAATGGCCATTCAGGTTTCTAATAATGGTAGTCTAACAATGATTGATTGTTGATTTCAATGTGTAAAACACCTAATATCTCTATAACTCCTATTGAAAATACTCCATTATCCTTGTCGTTTTACGGCGGCGTATCATACTCAAATCACTTTTAAAATAAAAAAAAGCCCAGAAAAACTTTGGAAGCAAATAAAACAACATGTTTTTATTCATGAATTAATTTTTGTCAGAATAACCATAAGCATAAACATAAATTCATAGCATTCGTATTTTTTCGTTTGTTAAGAACACAGTTTGTGCGTCGCCGCTACACACACCAGTTGAAAATTTGGATAATAGTTGTTGAAACTAACTAACTAACTAACTAACTAAGGCTTTTATCATAATATCATTTCAAAAAGCTTATTTTTTCTTTTTTTATGCACAACATTTAAAAACATGAATCATTGGTTTTCCATCAGATTTTAAATAAACACGTGGACTTGGCAATGGTTGATGAAGTTCCAGATTTTTATTTGATGGATAGATTATTTTCGGAATGATACATGAGCATACATTGGAAAAGTCGATTGTCCCACTGACAATATCATTAGTAGATTGTTTGCGTAAAACAATAATGAAAGCTGGGAAACCTTCAGCTTTACGTGTAAATATTTCAAATTGTAACTCTTCTGTCTGCAATATACAAACAAAATTAAAAAAAGCATTGTGAAAATATATCATTTTGCAAAACATTTATTTGATAGGAGGGAGAAAGAAATATAACAACATGAAGGAAGGCATTAGTGGTTATGATCGCCATCAATTTCAATTACCCTATACTTCATTAAAGTTGTAATCCACAAGACGATACTAACCGATGGTTACAGACGCTGAATGACATGGCTAAAAAATGGTTTGCACTGGCGCAGGTGCATCTGCTCATTGTGTGTTCTTTCAAATTCTATTCTTCAGAATTCCTTCCTCATCACCTCTATCTTTCTCTTTCGAAATTTATCCAACTGAATTATAATACATCTTGAATAATATCTTCCTTCGATCCCTGATATATTCTCCATTACTAGTAATTCTTCTATTATCGCTATCACTCCTGGATTTAAAATTGACGATTGCGTCTCTGTGCTAATGCAGTATGGCAATCTGAACTGATGTACGCACGTACGTACGTACAAAGTCCTACGTTTTAATTGTCTGACTGATCACTACTGTAATCACTACAGTAATAATATATATCAATCAGTCCTACACACCTATTGTGTGCAATTATTACCACTAACACACTACTTGAAGATGGAATTTAAATTGATAACCCAGCGGGGATTGGGGGAATACAATGTGCCCTAAATAACCAACCGTCAGATTCAATGCTGAAAAAAGTATCAATACCTTAAACTTTATATTTAAAATTAAAATTAGTTATAAAAACTTCAGTACACACAATAAGAATCAACTTAAACTTACAATGCGTTTATCTTTAATCATTTTAAAGTCTCCCCATAGTAAACTTTCATTTTTACGAATTGCTATAAGATCTTGAACAAGAGAGAAAGCAGTAAACCCACGACCACTTGATGTTGCAGACTAACAACAAACAGAAAAAAACAAAATGATCTATTATTATATTATTTGTAGGATAATCAATAAAAATGTAACGAAAAACACATTTTCTTTTTTACATAAATCAATTAACAGCTATTAATAACTCAGGTGTCGTCACATCATAACACTAACCCTAGTTTTGTTGCATAGCAAAACAACATGAACAATTCTTCCACTTAGTCAATCAGTTGCAACGTAGAACTTCGTACGTACGTATGTACGTACATCAGTTCAAGTTGGATACCACATTAGCACAGAGACATAATTGTCAATTCAAATCCCATAGTAGTAGATGTAGTAAAAGTATTAGAAGTAATCTGAGAGATTAGGGTTCAAAGATATTATTCGAAAAGTATAAATCAGTGACGCAAATTTAGAAAGAGAAAGATAGAGGTGTGATGATGAATTCATAAGGTTAGAATTACATAGAACACAAAGAGTAAATGCACCTGTACCACTGCAAACGGTTTTCAAGCCATGTCATTCAGGGTTTCTAACCATCGATTATTATCATTATCTCGCAGACCCCAACGAGATAGCCTACATTTACCAAAATGACTCAGTCCACTTGTCAGTGACTTCATGCATTTCTACCATGTTTTGGTCTGGTCTTTCTTCCAACCTACTCCTCCTACACCAAAAAACATAGATCGTCGAGGCAGTCGGTGGTTAGGCATACGTAACACATGTCCCAACCACCTCAACTGATGAAATTGGTGATGAAGCACGCTTTGGAAACTCTCAATCAGAAAACTGGTTGAATACTTTTGATTTAATGAAAATAATCTCAGTAGTTTTAATGGTAATATTATTAAGTCTTTTCAAAACAAATATTTAACAATTACAAACATATGTCAATAATATTTTGACAATAGTCGTCTAGTTACTAAACATACTTCAACTGTTTCACTAATCTCAAAGGTTTTCAAGTAATCCGTGAAAGATGTGACGTTTGATAAGCTTGCCGAGAAACCAACACCAGATTGATCCCAAGGCATAGCTAATTGAGACAAAAGCACATCAGTTTCTCCCGAGCCGGTGAACACACTCTTCTCTTCAAAAGGATAGAAATCGGGAGTGAAACTGGCGCTCTTTGTCTCATCGTTTAACTCCGAACCATAATATAGTAGACAAGTACCTAGAAAATTTTAAAAAATATGACAAGATATCCACAAATCAAGCAAAAAGTACAACATTTACCAGAGGATATGATTCATTAGCATCACTGCAAAAAACCAATGTTTGAATTGGGACACAAATAAAATGTGAAAGTTTGATGTATTTTACCCAGAAAATCTGTAATTTAAATTTTAGTTGTCAAAGTATTTATTTATGGTGCATATTTATAGGTGAAGAAGCTCTTCAACTGTGAAAGAATATCACATGACGATCATCTAATAACTAGTTCGCTAAATTGGTGACAAATCTAGGCCTTTTCGACCTATTTACTTTATCTACTGTAATCAACTTCTAAGAAGAATATTTGCAAGAATTGAAGAAATTTTTCCTCAGCGTTTCTTTATCAACATTGTCAAAATCTATACCATGTCCTTTTCCAATTTTGAATTATAACTGAGCAATGAATCAAGGCCAACCAATAATGAGGATGCATTCAATCCATATTGATGAATCTGCTTTGGGCTTCAAATTGTTCATATAATTTCATTCGCTATTTGTATATTAAGACAGGGAATTAGTATTTACATCTTAGTTTTCATTTTACTAAATTCCTCTTATTTTTATGTTCATATAAACATACTGTATAATTGATGCTAAGAATCTTTGTAGTAAACAACCCATAAAGTAAATATTAGTACATAATAATACTTAAAAGAATCCATTTAGTAATTTTTAAATTAATGTATATATTGAGATTAATCACTCTTGATGGAGATGCTGCCTTGGAGGACGTTAACACCTTTACATATCTGGGCAGCATCATCGACAACCAAGGTGGATCCGATGCAGATGTGAGGGCACGGATTGGCAAAGCAAGGGCTGCATTTCTACAGTTGAAAAATATCTGGAACTCCAAACAACTTTCAATCAACACCAAAATCAGGATTTTCAATACAAATGTCAAGACAGTTCTACTACTGTATAGAGCGGAAACTTGGAGAACTACAAAAGCCATCATCCAGAAGATACAAGTGTTTATTAACAGCTGTCTACGCAAAATACTTCGTATTCGTTGGCCAGACACCTTCAGCAAAAACGAACTGTGGGAGAACAAACCAGATTCCAGTGTAGGAGGAAATCAGGAAGAAGCGGTGGAAGTGGATAAGACACACACTATGAAAACGACCTAACTGCGTCACGAGACAAGCCCTCACATGGAACCCTCAAGGCGAAAGGAAAAGAGGAAGGCCAAGGAACACACTACGCCGAGAAATAAAGAAAGATATGAGGGGAATGAACAAACATTGGACAGAACTGGAGAGGGAAGCCCAAGACAGAGTTGGTTGGAGAAAACCGGTGGGCGGACTATGCTCCATTGGGGGTAACAGGCGTAAGTAAGTATATATTGAGATTCATTCCCAGTCAATTTGATTGACACTTCAATATCCCAGTTCCCTAAAGCTTTTAAATATTGCCACTACTCAGTATAATTACAAAGTTATAAATAAAAGAACTCGTGATTCATTCTTCATATATATTCCTAATTACTGTCAAAACAATTGTCTCAACTTCTGATACATATATATATAATAACTAAATAGTACGTGAAATGAAAGTGAACTCATGATTGATTAAATATTTATTGAAAATGTGATAATCCTAATACGAATGATCACCATACTCACCTGGAAGTAAAAATGTAGAGGCTAGAGCTATCAAATCAGATTGTCTAGGGTCACTAGTGGAAGCTGAAGTTAAGGCTAAAGAGTTTCGGTCATTTATATTTAACATATCATAAGTAAAGATGTTATTCTTCAGCAACATAGGTTCATTTGGAGATGCTTTCCTACAGAAAAAAAATAACCTTTCATTAGAACAGCTTACCAACCGCGTTGCTTAACAAACTGACGGCTTACAACTACATGTGCTGCTGGTGAATCTTTTGTCCCAAGATACTGTGTGGAAAGATCTTCTTTTCCCCGAATACCATATCCTGTGTTACCACTATCAACTGCTAATAACCTTAAGAACTTATAATTACACAAAGTTAACTTACTTTGGTTTTCCACTGGATTCTGACATTTCATCAACAACTTTTCTTATTGTTCGGACAACTTCCACTGATTCGTTTAGGTATATTTGTGATGCTGGGTATTGACTAAACCAATTTGAACCCGACTGCTAAATAAAATTGACTGAAAGGAAATCACCTCTTTTGTGATTGAAGCAGAAGGTTCTGCACTATTTTCAATATAGAAAGCAACATTTTCCAAGAGAATACCATCTATGCCTTCACTAAGCCAAAACTTGGCCACGTCCTACCACAAATTAAAATATACATTGAATAAACTTACAGAAACACGTCCTAATACAGCCGGATCTTTAAGATTAAGATCGACGAACGGTGGACCGAATACGGAATAATATTCGGTGCCTTGTATAGGTGTCTTTGCATCTCTACCTAGACGAGAAACCTAACAAAACGATGGAAACTAGTTGCAATATTCTTACTGTTTTACTGCTAGGAAAGGGTACAAGCACAGAGGGTGATTCAGTAGCCCATGAATGTTTCTCAGATATAGAGTTAAAGTCCATGCTTAAGACCACATGGATGCCATTTTTGTGAAACGATCTCACAAAATACTTGAAATCTTCCATAGTACCAACCGCAGGGTCAATGCTATAGAAATCATGCACAAGACCCAATGTTTTTTGGTCATTAGTGTATTGACCAGCGAAAATGGAACTGAGAACAACAAATCCCGCACCCAAAACACTTTTGATATAATCAAGTTTATCAACCATGCCTATTAGTATGAAAGTAATGATGAAAATCTATCTAACCTCTTAGATCTCCGATTTTGTCATTAGTAGAATCTGCAAAAGCAAATGGGTTAACCCAATACCCAGTATTTGATCTCCAGAAAGGTAGAACCGGCCTTGGTGGACACTTTGGAGTGAATACTATTATTAAAACTGCTGCTACGAGAAGCCCGATCCAAACAATCCAAAATAATATAAAAAGACCCCATCGCAGACGCAACCATAAAGGTTCCTTGCTATCCAGCTGCATCAGATCTTCTCTTGTAAGTAAAGGATATGTATCTTTTTGTTGTTTGTTAACTTCATTCGTAGGGGGACTATTTTTCAGGTTTGGTAGAAAACCAACCTCTTCGTCTAACGGAACTCTACCGTTCGTACGACCCAAACTCATACTTTGCACAAACTAACCTCCTGCAACAGAAATGATCGAATGAAAATCATGACGACTAGAAAAACAAAGAACAACTCAATGTCCAATATCTTTTTAACGAGCAATTATAAACCGTTTGATTACTACGCACCCCCTTCTTATTGTTTCAGTAACGTTTAGGGTATTTTGAAATATACATTGAATTGCAGTCAGATCACTCAATTTCATTAATTCTAATCAGTTGTAAGTAATTTATGGCTTTTGTGGATTATAAGGTTGTCATACAGAGAATGAAAAAGGGAAAATTCGAATGCTAAGAAGACTGATGTTTCAAGAAATAAACGAATAATATAAATTCAGTAATTGATATTGCAGATAGATAGATAGATAGATAGTGCATCAAGCTGTCTGCAGTTACTAATTGGAGACTAAGCTGTGGGGTGACATTTTAGAACGGATTTTCTAAGGATACGTAATTTACTTCCGTCCCATGCTGCCGAATGTCGATGACATTATTGGTTGAGTTTTGAAGCTTTGTCCAGTATCCATTCCTCTATTGTTTTAAAGTGTTCCTGAATCTTAATAGAATCTTTTTCTTCTCATATGGACTCCTGGATCTTTTAATGTCTGCAAAAATTAGCATACTGAGCTAATTTTACTCTTATGAGACTCCTAGTGTTCATACTTGCCAGCTGGTGCTTACTCTACCGAGCCTGTCCTCTGAGTGGATTCAGTGCCGAAATGAAGTGGGGCTAGCAAAGACCATCCACGGAAACTTTCTTGGGCTCTGAGATTCGGCTTTCCTAAGCACAAATAGGGGAGCAATTTAGATAGTCCCCAGTCTAGCGGCTCTTCTGGAGCTTAGGAATAATCTGGAATTGTGCATTCGTGGTTCAACTGGTTAGAAAAGTTAGCAATAGAGATCTCATATACATCACTGTTGGTGTGACATTCTCTCTTTGGACCTTCAGGATCACACACACTAATTTTCAGATTGTTTCAGCCATGAATATGTAAAGACGCTTGTGGTTCCAGTATAATTTGGCTGCCAGCTTCTTCCGTAAACGTACTCTATCATTTCGAACTTTGGTGTTGCACAGTGAACTTTGCATAAATGCAAGATGCTATTGATGTCATAAAACATGTCACTATAATCTTCTAAACCCAACCTACCCTTTAAGTTATAACTTGCATGCTTACAGGAAGAGGAGTGTGGTACTGGTAGAAAAAACAGGTTTGTGAAGGCATCTCAAGGTGTACTGAAAACGAACTCTATTTCGAAAGTAAACAGTTACTTTTAACATTGGTAAGTAATATGGTAATTATTGACGTCCGTAGACAGTTACTACACTTCGTGCCTCGGGTGTTCGCTTGTATTGATGTACTTTTATGAAGAGAACGCGAATGGTCTATTAGAAGTATTCATTATTATAACCAATTGTACCAGTGGCAGTCTAACTGTACTTATTGTTTATAACACTTTTCGTTTGTGTTACTACCATTTTATGCCCAACCATCTTTGCAATTTCGCCATCTTTTCTGGCAAGATTTCGGTATTCTTTCGACACCACGAAATCGCCAGCAAATATATTCTTTAACATGGATATATTCACCTTCTCGGTGACTGGCTCGTAATTAGTATTTAATGCTGATCACTTTTAAATCTCGACTAGTTCACCACTAAAATTGGTGAGCCGACTTTGTATTCAAAGTTTTCAATTAAGATGAGTCTATTATTCATCTATCTCCACTTTTAATCATGTTGCTATACGATTGTTAATCTCCACATACTTGAAATAAATCGTAGATAGTTATAATAATAGACTCCAAGGTGCAAGTCAGTGAATTTTTACCCTTTTCTTCTTCATCACTTCAGGTTGTTAGTTTATTTTATTTGCACGAGTTTGCACTAACGCTAGGTATTTGGTAGCCACAGGTGCCTAAGTTTCTATCTTATCGTCTAGTAGCAGCAAGTCACAAGCTACGATGAATCGACCACGCGCTGAGAACGGCTCTGTCACTCCTACTTACGGTACGCGACAGCCAATTATCAACCTGAATAATCGACAACAGCATCTATTGTTACGTCCAGTTTTTTGCTCGTTGATCTTACGAAGCACGGTTGTCGACTATTTGTAATTCACGGTCCCAAATTTCTAAACCAAGAACGAAACTCCAAAGTAGATACCAAAGTTTATTCCAAATCACAAATTCGACCAAAATACTTTATTACAAATAGACGACCAATGTCGTTCTAACAACAATAATTATAATAATTACAATTACCTTCTAATTTATTATCTCTTGGAGCAAAAAACTGCAACGAACAACAAAGAGAAACGGGAGTCCAAAATGTCCGCAAATAATAATTCAAACAAGTTCATAAGTTAAGTAAAACAAATATACCCAAAAAACAGTGAAATTAATGATATTTATACATGAAGGTTTTGATCAGCAAAATGTCTTCGTTTCTCTCGTAACATCTATGAACGTTCATCCTTGCTGATGTTCCCACAGCCGTACTCGGAATCGATTCCCTACAGCTCTAGAAATTGTTATTCGATTCACGTAGGCTGCAGTTAATCGATACTTCATCCAGTATCAAATCCAAGGGTTCTAACGTTCCAATAGATGTGTACCGAATCACTGGTGTATAATTTGGATGATCATTTATCTCATGTTTGATATGATAAATTCCCCAAAGTGACTAAATCGAGAAGATTCTGTCGGCGATTAATTATTTGAAAAGCCACATCGTCGCCTGCAGACCCCCAGACACGGCAAAACCTCGCCTACTGGCACCGGACAAATTAGTTTTCGCTAAGCGTGAGTTTGACAGTTTACTTGCTACATGTATTACTTCGTCGTTCTCACAGTCCTTAAGACTCCTCTCTCCACCCGGTTTGCAGAAAGATGGCATTTGTTGGAGACGACGCGGAGATCACAGAGCAGCAACGGCAGGTTTGCAGTGTTCCGCCCTCGAACTTGTGTATGGCACGACATTGCATCTGCTTGGGGAATTTTTTTCACACCACGGAGCAGATATTTTATGTATAACAGGTAACGTCCAACGGCTTTCTGCGTAGATTCTAACACTGCCTCCGGTGTCAAAAGGAATGTAGCATCAACAGTTCGCTCTCCCTCGAGAGTTATTTACCTGTTCGCACGTTTTCATACGGGCAAATTCAGAAGTCAAGCCCTTGCAACTGCCTTTTCACGTGATTTCTCGTCATGAAAAGACCTTCAAGGTTGATGGACACAGTCATCATTGATCGTCTCATACCAGCACACGTCAATGACAGTGCCCTACCTGGTAAACCGAGATTCGATGCTGGACCCGTCCAACTCACTAGCAGGATCCATATTTCTGTTTCGGATCCCACGCTAGATACATCAGAGACCTCTTTCTCATGTCCCAGTCAACAGCAAGCGTCATCTGCGCTACCTGCTGATGAGATTCCGGCCTCGCTTATAGATCAGCAGACCACGCAGCCCTTGACTTCGGATGAGATTGCGGGCTCACAAGGTACGCATGAGATTAGCGTTTCGCGCTCCGGTCTTCACGCACGCCAATCTGTACGCTTGTGCGACTAATATCACAATCAACAACGGATTCGGTACAGAACCTTATTCTTATACTACATGCATGTTACACATTTCTCTTTTTTCATTTTTCCATCCTGAGCACACGCCTCCGACCACCATCCTGTTGGTACCGTCGAATTCAGTCAGTCTTGGAGAAAACTAGTCTGATCACACATACACTTGTCAATGCACTCAGTCGATTATTTGGTTCCGAATATATCTGGCATACGTTGGGTTTCGAGCTTTGTGGTCATGATCGTTTCTGGTTCTTTCGCTTCGTCCTTCGTCCGCAACGTTTTCTGGTCCGGACAGCTACGAACGCAATCTCCAGATTCTGGATACGAGCCACGCTGGTGTGGCACGCCAACTCGAACACCAAA